TTTTTTTTAACAACAAGGGCGTGGACAATAAGGTAAACAATATAAATCATAACATAATAGTGATACGAATAAATGATAATAATATGAGGCAAAGATGACCAATAATTATTCACACAGAAAGTGAAAACAAAGATAATAAATACACATAACAATTTAAAATAATTTAATTAATTTAATGACGGAGTGGTGTTTGGACGAGTAGGGAGATGTCGCCTTCGAGCAGAGTCGTCGATAAGTTAATTGCTTTTTGCGCGAACAGTAGGTACTGTTTGTTTAGTAGAGTAGCAAATTAATTTTCTTTTTTTTTCAAAATTCACATCTACTTGTTAGTGTTACACTGTTACTGAAAAAAAGAATCGAAAATCCATTTCCTACATAACCTGGAAATGAGAATAAGGAATTCAAATATATTTTCAAAATTAAAATCAGGCTTTTAGTATTGGGTGAATTTTGTTCTGCTTATTGGTTTAATTGCACAGCCTTAAGACTATTGAAAGCGAACCGTTTTTGAAGAGTTGGATTAGGTAATATTCTATATCTTTCGTGAATGCTGTGTAATGGATTAGAAACAAAAAACGAAAAAGGCATTGGTTCATAAGTTTGTTTCTATTCCACTACTATGTAGGTATATTATTATAGTGGATTGGTGTAAAAAGTGTATCACTTACCTCGACTAGCTGCTAACGATGTGTATATAATTTAATTCTTTTTTTTGTGAGTCGATGCACGTTATTATTATTTTTAGTTTATAAGTACTCATAACTAGCTTTAAAATTAACATATAATAAAAAGCCCACGAGGTTGTCTAGATAATAATCTTCTCTTTAGATTTTATGAGTAGTCAATTTACTCCATTTTTTAAATTAACGGAGCTACATGTGTTTTGCTGAGCGTAAAATTTGGTATGTTATACACTTGTAAGACGGAGACAGCACATGCGGGTATAACGTCCTCTTAACAAAACTTGTATTATTTATATATAATAGCTGCGTGTGACTGTGTGTGTAGTAACAGATCTAATAATGTGCATGAGTTCCCTGGACATTTTATATAATAAAAGATAAACTACGGCTCAGATTCTTGAAAATATGTATCATTTATAGCATTTAAAATTTAGTTTGAAGTCAGTCACTGATATTCACACGTAAATTACCAAATTCTCATCGGTAATAGGGCCAATGAATTTTATTATTTTACCTTAAATTATTACAGGCCAATGGTATTAACACAGAAAATAAATTGTTTTTGTTGCATTAATAATAAATTTAAAAAGGTGGGCAAGTGGGTGTACAGTATTTTACAAGTGGGTCACTGTATAATGGATGATATTAAATTTGAATTCAACGATATAATATCATTGTATAAGAAAAACGATTCTGAGCGGAGACGGTATGTCAGTCTAGGTATAAGACATATTATATACATATCTATGATAAAACTGAACAAAAAATTGACCTATAATAAATTCCAAATTAATCATATCACAATATCCATTAGGTACTTATAACGCGTTATACATCAACAAAAACCGTTATACTATCATAGATATATAATAGTACACTTTAGAAGTTTCAAGTACCCACGAATAATATTATTCAATCACAACAAAATAACTAAAATAGTTATTCTAGGTATGTAATTTCGTCCAAATTTGAATTTAAAATGTCTGTAAAAAATAACTGTGTTCATATATTTTTTAGATTTTTTTGGTTACAGTATGAACTATTTACGAGAACCTTTGTGTTGAATTTGCAATCCTTTGCTATAAAAACTGAACATTTTATAATTTATTAATTACAATGATTGATAATTTTTGAGATTTTGATAAATTTTGTCAAAATTTGATCTTTAAATGCTTATAAAAAAAAACTGTGCCTATGTATTTTTAATATTTTTCAACTGATATTGTAACAATATATCAGGAGCCTTGTATTAAATTTTTACACTTTTTGGCCCAACAGACAAAACTTTATTGATATTTATAGAAAAAAAAAACTAAAAAAAATTGAAAGCTGTAAATGTAAATAAACAGCTCAAAAAGAGTCAAAATATTTTCAAAATTGTATGGTGTATAGGAAATGCTAATATAAACATTTAGTGAAATTTGCATGTATCTACAGTTATTCGTTTTTGAATTACAACAAAATAAGGAAATCGCTACATGAGAAATCGAGTGAACATCCAATGTTGTAAAAATTTGAATTTCAAACGCTCATAAAAATTTAATTTGACTTTCCGGTAGAGATGTTTTTATTGATAAAGGTAGACAAACTTATGAGTAATCTTGTATTACATTTTCAAATCTTAAATTTAAAAAGAAAAATTTTTACGAATTCTTAACTCAAAATAATTCGCTAATTTTCGTGATTTTTCCATATTTTAACAATTTTTGAACTTCAAATGCTTATAAAAAAAAATTGTGACTAAGGATTTTTAATATTTTTCATCTGCCTTTGAAACAATATATTAGGAGCCTTCTATTAAATTTTCAAGCTTTCGCAACCAACAAATAAAATTTTATTGATATTTTTAGAAAAAAAACTAAAAAAAAAATGGAAAATGAAAATGTCCCTAAACAGTTCAAAATAAATCAAAATATTTTGAAAATGTTATCGTGTATAGAAAATGCAAATATAAAGAACCAGTGAAAATTTCATGTATATACGTTCATTTGTTTTAGAGTTACACCAAAAACCAAAATCGACTTTTTTTAAAATCAATTTTGCGTAGAAATTCCCGTTTTTCCTTAATTTTTATGTTGTTTTTCCCGGCGCTTGTGAAAACTACTGGGAAATTTATACTTTTGAAAGTAAAAATTAAAGCCCCCAAAGTACCAACTAGATTCACTTTCCTATCAGAAAAGCTACTGATGAAGAAAATCCAATCACTTTTACTGTCCAAAACGTGATGACAGACACACAAAAAAAAAAAAAACACACATTGTAAAACCAATACATTCATCGCTCCGCTCAGAATCTAAAATTATATATGTGACCAACCCAGTATAGCTGAGAGCAAAAAGCAAAAAAAAAGAATCATTTAATTGTATACCTACATTAATCAAACGAAATGGGTTAAAATAAGACACAAAAAGAGCTGCCAAAAGTAGGTTTGGCCTATGGGTCCATAACTAATCCACAACCTTTTTTCTATTATCTCAAATTATATAATTCCATATAAGTATTTAGTATATAACAAAATATTCTCGTGATAACTGTGTTATATTTATTTTTTATTTACTTACTTTTCAATAAAATCCATAGAGTATACTCTATAGTCTATAATAAAAGCATAATATAAATAAATAACATTTTTCTAAAATAATAAATTGTAAATAATATGCATTAAAACATAGTTAAAAATTAAAACTCCAGTAAAAAGAAAGTGTCCATACTTTAGTATTATGTTTGCTTCATTATTATCTGTTGGAATTTGTGTTTGCTTTCCATCATATGCAATATTTCAAATTAATTTATGTTTAATCGTAAATAAACAAAAAATTTAAATTTAACACAATATTTAGTTTTCTAATATATCCAGTACACTGCAGAAAAAATGTTAAATACTGTTAGGCTGTGCTGAAATTTAAAACCAAACAGAATAATTGTTCTATTGTTGTAGTGATATAGGTAACTGCATTCACATATTGCATAGGTTAGTTATATCGTTGTGGAAAGATAAAATATAGATAAAAATGATATAAGTATGTTCTTACATTCTTAAAAAATGTGTTTAGTTTCAAGATAGTAAACATCTATCACATTTTTCTCATTCAATTACAAACTAAATGAATACATTTTTAAAAATAATGTACAAATTGTATTATTTTGGTACTACTTATATTTTGCATTAATATTTTAATAACTTTTAAAATTATTTTTCTGAAAGAATAAAATATATTAAATGACCAAATTCAAGAATGTTTAAATTCCAATAGATAATTACGAAATACATGCTGTGTTACATTTTGTAATATATTTTGTGTTTCATATTTTTCATTATTTGGTTTTACACATTTTGAAAATATATTTCACTATATTTCATTTATAAAACTAGCTGGTAAATATATTTTTTTACCTTCAAAGAAAAGTTATACTAACAGTATAAAATTATTGAAAAATCATAATGATCAAAATATTACAAATATAACAGATATAATAAATTAATTAAAAAATTTGAATTCAATGATAAAATATCATTGTATATTATGAAAAACGATTCTGAGCGAAAACGGTCAGTCAGCCTATGATATTACGAAATATATTTGATGATATTAAGGTGAATAAAGTAATTTACATATAAGTATATAACCTATTTAAGTGGAATCTTGTTTTAAATTTTCAATATTTAGCCATCAAAGTTGAACATTTTATAAATTTTTAACTAAAAAGTTATTGTTAAATTTTAAATGTGATAAATTTTGTCAACATTTGAACTTTAAATACTTACAAAAAAAATTGTGTATATGTATTTTTAATATTTTTTAACTTTTGCATATTACTAAAATAGAAGTAGGTAGGTATCAAGTATATATAGACCGGGTCCATTAAATGAACAGTCTGCCGTTTTCTTTAAATAATAAGGCATACATTAATAACACAATAATAAGGCATATTGTCAATTTTCAAACAATTTCAGTGATTTTAACTTTGACGAAAATATAATAAATTATGGAGTGTATACAATATAATAAAATAATATATAATTTTAAATTTATTAGTTTGAAAATAGTAAATTATTTATTATCTGAATATTAAACTTATAACATTATTTATAAATAGTTGGTAGTTAAACATTTTGTGTTGAATAATGCAGTGATAAAATATAATTAGACATTGAAATGGTAGGTAAACTCAACACAAAGTACAATTTTTGAGCACACTGATTTTTTAAAACTGTATAGGTACAACTAATTAGCTATATCTAAGAAATAATATTTATTATATTTGATGCAAACACGTAAAAAAATGCTGAATAATGAATTTATTAAAGATTTAAAATTAGAGGGTTCTCTTGTAAATCTTTTCCAAGATTGTGAAAAACATGTCTTGTGACAATCCTCCTGACAATAGTTGAATATAAGTACTTATTAACTTATAACTTTCTTCTTCGTAGAGTTGATACGAGTTTTGTAATTTCAACTGTAGGTATAAATCTTTTATGACTGCAACATTGACTGGATCGTCAATACCGTAATTATCCTAAAACAATAATTAATTAGTTAAACGTTCAAACAATATACCTAGTAGTCAGTAATATAACATTATGCTACCTCCATAATTTTTTTTTGTTCAGAATTTACTTTTTGCAAAGCCATTACAGCCAACCATGAGCATTTTCCATCTTCTATGTCTGTGCCAATTTTTCCAGTGACTTCTGGAATACCATAACAGTCTAAATAGTCATCCTAAAAGAAATTTTTCATTAATTGGGTAGGTATTATTATTTATTTAAATTAACAATATATACTTGAATTTGAAAGAATTGACCCATTTCAAGCAATATAGCCTTTGATTGTTTAAAGATTTCTTGGTCATTGATGTTTGTCTATAAAATGATTACATAATATATTATAAATCAATGGATGAAATTACAAACATAGGTATTGTGCTTACCATGCGCATGGCGAGAAACACGGGAAGAAAAAACGAATAATACGCAGTCTTATATTTCACAATAGCTGTATAATTGTCCAAAGTAAATTTTTCAAGTTTTGTAGTTTTGAAACTTTTCGCAGTCAACATATCGAGACACTGGCCCATCGCAGATTTCATTGTAACCTAAATAAAATATAATTATTGATTAGTGTTAGGGCCATATTCAAAGCAATATAAGAAGCCCTGAACCCCCATGACATTTTAATTAGATCTCGACTACAATTTGAATAGAATAAAAATGTTAAAAATGAAATTAATTTATTTTGTGTCAATATCAGACGACAGGGTTAAGAATAATAACAGAAATAATATTTGGTACAATGTAAACTTTTGTCAAGTCATTGAAAAGGTTAAAAGCTTATTGCCGTATTCATGGTGGGTGCTTAAGAATAAGTAATGCTTAAGCTAATTTTGATAATTTAAAAAATAAAATTGTGATTATAATTAAAGCAATGCTTAAGGTAGGTCTCGACCTGTAATGGGGCTTCAAAGGGAACAAAGTTTCGTAAGGACTATGAAACATCAATGAAACCAACAATCAACTTATTTAAAAATTATAAAATAGCAGACAATTTTCTGCTAGTTAAGGTGCTTAAACCAAGGTATTGAAGAGTATTAGGACAATCATGGTGAGGATTTTCTATACCTAGGACATGACCTGTAAAATATAGGAAACGAAGTTGAACATGTTCTAACTCAGAGGCAATGTGTGCAGTGTGAGGGTACCATAACACCTAAGAACATTTAACAAATATATATATATATATGGGGGACGGAGTGGCCGAGGGGTTCGAATCTCAGTCACGGGATTCACTTTTCTTCGTGCAGTCACGGTGTCTGGAAAGAGCGGCCACCATCCCCCATGGCATGGCAGATATCTACAACAGGTGCCCACTTGAAAATTGAACACAAAAACGTGCCAAAAACCATACAGTACCATTCTACAGCTAATGGCTTCAGTTTCAGGGCTTAAGACCAATAAGAAAAATTATATAACGATATATTTAATAAAAATAAGCCGTGAAAATAATTTTACCCAGGTTTAAATACCCTTTTATAAAGACGGCTCTTAATTGTGTAATTTTAACAACATTCTAAAATTAATACAAAACCATTTTTTTTCATACGTCATAGAACAGTTCCACAATGTGTGTATAGTATGGCTTGTCCTTAAAGTGTTTTTTAAGCAATTGGTAAATGGCCTGTTCCAGGAGAATGCCATCGTTCACTGCCATTAGACCAATATCATTGTGCCGATACCAACACGGACGTCCTCGTCTAGTAATAGCGTTATCCATTATGTCATCCAACACTAATTGATAAGCTTGCAACTGAAATAGGAACGAACATAATACATTTTTATTTGGTTCCCATGCACATTGTATTGCCCACATACAAATTTTAATTTAATATATTTTGTTAACATTTGAAGTTTAAATGTTTTTAAAATAAAATCGTGCATAATATGTATTATAATTGTATTTTTAATGTTTTTAAACTGCTTTTGTAAATGTATGAGAAACCTTGTATTCATTTTTCAAGCATTTTGCCTTAGCGGAAAAAATATTTTATACAACATTTATAAAAAATTAAACTGAAAAAAATTAAAAATGTCTAAAAATAATCCAAAAAACATATTTTGACAGAATTTATCTAATTTAAAATTTAAAAAAGATTTTTTAGTTGAAAATTTATATAATGTTCAACTTTTATAGTTAAGGATTGAAAATCTAAAACAAGGTTAAATATCAGATTATACTGTTCAAATTTGGACGCAATTACATATTAAATAACCAAGAATAACGATTTTAATTATTTTTTTGTAATTTTATAATATTAATTAAACTTACTGGCAATATAAATATTATATAAAATATCCTAGACTGACTAACCGTCTCCGATCAGAGTCGTTTTTCGTATACGATATTATATCATTGAATTTAAAAGTTAATAATTGTAGGGACTTGCATTTTTCAGCATAACATAGCATGTACATGAAAACAATTTTGTTACAATAAAACAACTAGTAATATTGTATGAAATAATATTGTAATATTATTATTATTGTTTTATATTTATTAATAAAATACATCATGTTTAGGACGGTGGAAATTGAAATTTTATTTTTGTTTATAGATGGCTGTTATTGGTTGCAGATTATAATGGTAATAGTTTAAATGTATTATTAGTATTATTTTTTTTTTTATGTATATAAATAGTTGCCATTGGGTAGGTTCTCGGTCAGATCCGGTACAAGCATGCATCAAATATTCGAGCGTATGGCCTCGAAAAGGAACTATATATCTTAAAACAAAATGTATGTGTCAATTAAATACTCAAAAACTACTCAATTAAATTTGGTTAAAATCTCAGAGATTAGTGTTTGAGATATCAGAAAAGTTTTCAGAGTAAGTACTTTAAATAGGTTTATCAAGTGCTAAATAAAATATTAAATCTTATAAAGTATATAATTTATATGCTATATACTCTATAATATATTATATAGGTTATCTCGGTTAGAGTGTATCTCCGTTTTAGTATACCTTAGTTCACAGACAAATCGGTGTCCGTATATTTAGCATTGTTTTTAATTTGTCTCAGATGGGCAACCGCAAGTCGTGGATGATATACATTAAAACCTATAGCGTATTTACTATATAGGATTTTCACAAAATAAAACTGCACACCGGTGAAACTGGGATATTCAGGTAGTTATATATAATATTATATTCTTAAAAAAAAAAAACAAAAAATATATAAAACTTAAAAAATAGAGTTTATCTCTTCCCCGGAACAAACCCTTAAAACGGACCTGAGTATCAATAATAAATATTAACTGTAAATATCATTAATTAAATTGATTTAAAAGAGATAAAATAAAAAAAAAGGTGGGCAAGTGGGTGTCGCTCTGCTGTACAGTAGGTTACAAGTGGGTCACTGTATAATGGATGGTATTAAATTTGAATTCAATGATATAATATCATTGTATAAGAAAAACGATTCTGAGCGGTGACGGTATGTCAGTCTATGTATAAGACATATTATATACATATCTATGGTATTAAACAAAAAATTGACCTATAATAGGTACCTATAATAAATTCCAAACTAATCATATCACAATATCCATTAGATACTTATAACGCGTTATACATCAACAAAAACCGTGATACTATCATAGATATATAATAGTACACTTTAGAAGTTTCAAGTACCCACGAATAATATTATTCAATCACAACAAAATAACTAAAATAGTTATTCTAGGTATGTAATTTCGTCCAAATTTAAATTTAAAATGTCTGTAAAAAATAAGTGTGTTTATATATTTTTTAGAATTTTTGGTTACAGTATGAATTATTTAAGAGAATCTTTGTTTTAAATTTTCAACTCTTAGTTATAAAAACTGAACATTTTATAATTTTTTAATTCCAACGATTGATAATTTTCAAGATTTTGATAAATTTTGTCAAAATTCCAACTTTAAATGCTTATAAAAAAAAATCGTGCCTATGTATTTTTAATATTTTTCAACTGATATTGTAACAATATATCAGGAGCCTTGCATTAAATTTTTACACTTTTTGGCCCAACAGATAAAACTTTATTGATATTTATAGAAAAAAAAACTAAAAAAATTGAAAGCTGTAAATGTCCATAAACAGCTCAAAAAGAGTCAAAATATTTTCAAAATTGTATGGTGTATAGAAAATGCTAATTTAAACATTCAGTGAAATTTTCATGTATCTACAGTTGTTCGTTTTTGAATTGCAACAAAATAAAGAAATCGTTACATGAGTAATCGAGTGAATATCCAATGTTGTAAAAATTTGGATTTCAAACGCTCATAAAAATTTAACTTGACTGTCCGGTAGAGATTTTTTTATTGATAAAGGTAGATAATCTTATAAGGAATCTTGTGTTTCATTTTCAAATCTTAGATTTAAAAAGAAAAATTTTGACAAATTCTTAACTCAAAATAATTTGCTAATTTTCGTGATTTTTCCATATTTTGTGAATTTTTGAACTTTAAATGCTTATAAAAAAAATTGTGACTAAGGATTTTTAATATTTTTCATCTGCCTTTGAAACAACATATTAGGAGCCTTCTATTAAATTTTCAAGCTTTCGCAACCAACAAATAAAATTGTATTGATATTTTTAGAAAAAAAACTAAAAAAAAATTGAAAATGAAAATGTCCCTAAACAGTTCAAAATAAATCAAAATATTTTGAAAATGTTATCGTGTATAGAAAATGCAAATATAAAGAACCAGTGAAAATTTCATGTATATACGTTCATTTGTTTTAGAGTTATACCAATAACCAAAATCGATTTTTTGGAAAACCAATTTTGTGTAAAAATTCCCGTTTTTCCTTAATTTTTATGTTGTTTTTCCCGGCGCTTGTGAAAACTACTGGGAAATTTATACTTTTGACCCCCTACAGTACCAACTAGATTCACTTTCCTACCAGAAAAGCTACTGATGAAGAAAATCCAAGCACTTTTACTGTCCTAAAACGTGATGACAGACACAAAAATATAAATAAAAATATAAAAAAAAACATACATCATTGTAAAACCAATACATTCATCGCTCCGCTCAGAATCTAAAATTGTCTCCTGTTACATATACAACTCAAAACGACTTACGATTTCAACACACCACCCTAATATGTAGGACAGTCTAAGATTTTCATCGGTCAGATCAGACGGCGAGGACAGCATCTTGAATGACGTTACTAACGTCAATCCTCGGTTATTCTTACCGCCGGGCACGTTGTATTTCAACAGCTACAATAAAACAGAACATAAAATATGTATATATATATATATTGTACACCTTATCATATAATATAGCTGCAAAACAAAACCATCGGCACATACGTTTTCTAGCCACTTGGTGGCCTCGGGCACGTTCAACTTAAGGCTGGTGTCTGTCAGATCCTTGACTAATTCTGGGAACACTGCCATGAAATTCCCAAACTCGTCCTGGCTGATTGATATACCAGTTACAGCCGAAGTCACCGGTGGCGGGAAATCCACGATCATAGGCCTAAAAAACGGGACGAATCGTTTTTAAAATATTATAGGTAGGAGGCACCTACCTATAATAATGTGTTATAATATGAATGATTACCCCAGACATTTTAAAAATGTTTATAAAATATATAATATCGATGGCATAGTGCACACATGTTGTAAGTGCAAAATTCAGATAAATGAGTTTTTTGCATGGCTGTATTGCTGACAACTTTCTACATATTGTGTACAAATGTTGTAAGTGTATAGTACATATTTAGTCTGCTAGAGGTCTGCGCGTTTGTTGTAGTGCATGTAATCTGCGTGATGTGAAATTACAATTGTCATTCTCCTGAACAATTACAAAAATGTCACTTACAACATGTGTGCACTATGTCATCGATATGGTATGTGGATATTTGATCACATCTCAATAGCTTCAAATATTACAATTATATGAAATATTGTTTAAAAAAAAAAAAAAAAATGTTTTTATAATCACTCTGTATAATGTAAACTCTCTTTGTATATCTATATATTTCCTAGGGGTAGATTTTTACCCCATGCGTTTAAATGAGACATATAAATCCGTGCGCCGTACGACGGGTTTATTATGATGGTTATATAATGTACCTATATATTACTACATGAGGTAGCTACCAGACTTACCGAAAGTGATTCTGTCGACCTGTTGTAACCGAGTTGCATTGAAAAAACGTGATCCGCCGGCTCAGGGCTTTCGTGAACGTAGTCAGTGTTTTGTACATAATACCTTATAGTCTTATACAAAGGTAGATAGTACTTATGTGGAATGTTATTCGACTATCGATAGAAGAAATTTACTACAACGATTGATGTTGAGTGTTATTGTATCTTACAGTACGGTACGGAACGAGAGAGAAGGGACAACCAACGAACGACGTCCTCGGTCGACTGGTTCGGATTAAATCTGAAAAGGAATGCAGACGCTATTACCACATGACGCCGACGAAACTGGTAGCGCTGTGGTAGTGAGGAGCATGTGAAATCTCGTGATTCTGATTTCGAATTTCAGAGGGGACTGGTGAGTGCATGTGTGGGCGGCCACGGGGTGACAATAAAAAGCCGACCGTTTTCATTGTTTGTCACGACTCGTATATATTGACGAGAAAATATTCCCAGAAATATTCTTAAGATTTCAGATACTTATCGCGAAAATTGTTATTTGTATTTATATTTCTTATATTCATATAAATTCACTTTTTTAAGGGATATTCCCTAGATGTTAAGAAATAGGAAAAATTAAATAACCAAAATAGGACTAAAGTTTTGTAAGATTTTTTTTTTTATGATCGATAAGGTCAAACTTATACAATATACCTACTAGTATATTATATTATATTTATTATTCAAATATAATCAAATCCAACAATTAAACTACCTATTAATTTGCTTGATTAAAAATCAAGAAAGTAAAAAATATTTCGTCCATCTATGTAATGGACGTTGTTTTTTATTTCCCCGATAGTTATAATTTATAATATGATAGGTACTATAACATAATATAAAAAAAAACAGAATGAGATCATGACTGTTCGCGCATTTTAAAACAACTTCCTCCACCACACCGCTCGTCATTGGGACCGCTTCCGCTTTTGCATACGGAACGCTCGCCAGACAACCGAGTCGCGTACGTGTTTATAAAACAATACAGTTTATGCGATATTTGCAACAGCGCTGTATAATCGTTAACAGATTTTTCGGCAAACCAATCAAAAACCGGCTGCGCGAAACGGACGCAAAAATGTCCGCCGCCCAGTCATGATCTTGTATAATATAATACTTATATTTACGTTTTACGTAATACATTGTATCCTTAATCGAATAAGAGTAATATTTGTTCATATAATTATATTATTATTGTTGACGTTCGTTGCACACACGGTGTACACAAAATATGGAGGGAAACATTTATCTTAGGTACGGATTTGAATATAAGAAATAATATATTCAAGAAATACCAGTACGTAAAACACGGTGTGTGCAGGAAGGTCAATTACCTACCCGGATGTGGACTTTCTAAAAGGAAGATGCTACGGCGAGCCCTGCTACTATGCTCACATGTTAAACGGTATAATAAACGACTACCAATTATTGGTGTATCGTATTGGTATATATATATATATATATATATATTATAATATATCATATTTTATCTACTTGGCCACTTACTATAATTTGTTTGACTATGGGTGTACACTGTACATATTATACATATTTTATTATTTTATTGTTATATTACTGTTATTATTCAAGGTTGTTTAATGGTTTTATTTTACTAGTCTAAACTTTAGACTTGGGTTATGATTTAAAAACGGCCTGCAAACGTTTTGGAACCAACAATGACAACAATTGAAAAACTGAAATATAATATATTGTATTGTATTGTATTATATTGTGTATAATATACATTTACATAATATAAACTATTATATTATTATGTATGTTGAATAAGAATTACAATATGAATCGACAAAAGATAAAATAAACAACACAATTGGCTATAGTAACAATAAGTAATATTTCAATATAGTTTAACCCCATATTATACTATATCTAAATATGAAAAGTAAATAATTGTCTCCTATACAATATAAATAGATATTATGCTTATTTGTTATGAGATAAACATGACGTAGTTATATTATATAGGTACAAATACACAATAATATAATTCAGTACCAACAGTGTGGTGAGTATTCGGTCGCCTTTATAATTTTTATATTATTATACAAATCATCTTACAACCCTGTTATAGAAATACATTATCGCTTAATTTACATTAACAATAACAATGATATTGTGATGTAAAGAATATGCTACAATAGTATATTAAGTGTCATACCTATTTCAAAGTTGTACAATAAGTGTAATATACTTATAATAAATAAACATAAACACTCATATTATCATATTATGAATTATAATATTTTCAACTATATACACTATACAGTATACAGTTATAAATAAAATGTTTATTTCAACAAGTGTAGGTATTCTATCGTTTACGGTTTACACAAACCCAGTGGCGTACACACGGTGGGGGGGGTCTGGGTGTTCAACCCCCCCCCCCTTAGTATTTTTTCAGTTTACGTAATAACGTAAAAATGTATAATAAAAATGATGACAATTTAAAAAAATATTATATTCCAAATTATACTCCATTATATTATAACTTATAAGCAACCCAGTTTGTTGTTATAATATATTGTAGATATTATTGATAACTTGTTACAAATTAATGAAATTATTGGTAAATTTGTTCAAACACAAACATGAGAGTCGACAATCGTGTAATCCGATATAATATGCCTTAATAGCTATCGCAGTATCGCTAATACTATAGTATAGAATCTATTTCTCAGTTTTCAATCAAATTCCTGACGCTTTGGACGTTTAGTAAATTGTACTTACTGTTTAAATATTTTATAAAACAATAAAAATGAAAAGAATAAACGAATATTTTTCTAACTCACTAATTTATGATACAATTAACTCGGAGGAACCAGGTAAATATTTAATACATTATATTATCAATCCTAGGACCTAGGTACAAAAAAATGATTAATATGGTAAAAATAAATTTCTCTTTATACCTATCTTTTATTGAATTGTATATAATATATTATTATATACATATTGTATGTACGCGTGTAACTTTGTAGTTATACTAAATAATTACCTGTAGGTAATAGGTATATATTTTTTAAATAATAATCGAGAATTGTAAAAATATTTTTAATTTCACCTTAAGTCATTGCTAATGAGCCGATTACTCATTAATTACAAAATAATTACTATAGGTACATCGTTTTGATTCATCAATGTATTATATATATATGTATATAAGTTTTTTATATGTAAGCCCCCCCCCCATTGAAAATAGCTGTGTACGCCACTGCACAAACCTACTAATTTAAAGTCGCAATAACATCACAGGATTTTATTCTAAATCTCAAACTCTGTGGTAGTAAATAATGATTATAGTATTATAATCTCAGTAAATTTCAGATGATTAAAAATAAATTTCTAAATCCTGATGGGTATTATATTCCGGTATATTTTCTATTGCCATGATTGGTAACAGTACCTACCGGTCACCGGAAATTTGCAGTTCAACACCATTTATCAAAAATTTCCTATTAGGCACATTGTATAATTAAACATTATAATACGAATATTAATAAACGATTATTTAGGAAATTCAAAAAAATCCAAGCTATTTAAAATGACCAGTACCACTGGGCAGTGAAATGAATGGTCAAACTTTATAATGTCAACAGTATAAGCTCGCTAGCTGTATCGAAAAATTGCTTTTTAGGCTTAAGCCATAAGAGTAGAATAGAAAAGAACATATTTTTTTAATATAATTTTTTTCTAGATGTTCCTAGAATAGAAATTTATATTCTGTTAATTGATCTCATTTGAACATTAATGTAGAGTAAGAATACATTTTAAATTTTTACAAAATACTTCAAATTCAGGAAAACAAGCAAATTATTTTATAGTTTAAAACTCATAATATTTAAAATTTAAATACCTAAGACTGTAAAATGTTTTACAAGATTCATCATAAATATATATTTAATCAAAATTAAAAGAAGTTTAGTATTTAAAATTTTGTATGGACGATTGTAAGTTCAAATTTTCACGACATTAGATACCTTACATTCAAATGAATTAGTCAACCGATTTTTGTTTTTTATTTATTACACAATAAATATTGTACCTAGATATTTGAAAAATTCTTTTATCACTTTAATTATCATTTACTATACATAATGACATTTAAAAATATTTAGATTTATTTTAAGCTGTTAATTGTTTAAACAACGAAATTCTTCTAACGGCAAGTTGGTATAAAAATAATATATTATGATTTGTATTAAAATGTATAATAGTAAATCTACTATAATAATTTATAATAAAATAAATTCTTTGCTTTCAAAAAAAATTAATTCAATCAAAAGTATTACTAGTACCTACCTATAATATAGGTACATATACTAGTATACTATAACTATAAATGCAATATAAATACATAATACCTAATAGTTAATACAGGGGCAGTGGAGGTGAATGCCATGACTTAAAGAATAATTGGTTTTTATAAAGTTGTAATAGGATACCTACTATGATGTCAAGCGGGCTCCAGCATATCATGTTTTAAGGAGTAATATTTAGGCAATTCACATAACATGAACATTTGGGCTATGTCTATGTGTGAGTAGTAAATTAACATTAGTTTGGGTAATCCAATATAGCGTGCCTCGGAGTTCGGACTATCGGTTGACAGTATTACGAATTCCCAGAACCACATAATATGTATAATAAATTATATTATAATTAAAATGCTATAAAAATGACAATATATTATGATCAAATGCGGGCGTTATTTTTTACTATTATATTACCTACCCACTACTCGGCTTTCGCTGCAATTCATAACAATGTACAATTACATTATACTACACAAGACTACAAGAGAATCACTTTGTTATTTCATAGTTATTAACTATTACATTATTTGACTTTTTTATACAAATAAAACCATTTAAAAAAGTAGTACCTATTACAAACCATCCCTGATAGGAAAAGGAAACTCACGTTCATATACTAAATCAATGAATTCTAAAACCATGTAACCAAAGAAAAAAGTAAAAATCAATTTCTTTTCCAAAATATTTACCACATTATTTTACCAATTTTAGAAATTATTATGTATATCACTTTTTTTATTCTGTAAATTTTGCAATCGATGTTTTTTTATTTTAGGTGCACTTAACTTACGTCTAGCTTTTCTCCCATAACGCCAATCTTAACCCATTTTGTAAAAAAAAAAAATTAAAAAGAACACAAAACTTACAGACAACCTTACTGATCGGCGTGTTGTGTTGAAATCAAATGATTCATAAATCATAGGTAGGTAAATCCTAGTAGTCAGAGCAGTAATCTTATCACATAAACAGTCGCATTTGAGGTAGAATTTATCAATAAATTAATGATATTACACTTTATAAATATTATTTTAATTTATAGTAAGTGTTGTCTAACCAGAAATCTCCTTTGAAATTGAATATTTAGCATTATATTTCTTCCTGAAAAGGGCCATCACTCATCAGACACAAAAGTAGTAAGCTTCGTGGTAAATTCAATAAGGTAGAATATAATATATTGTAATATATTATGCTTGTTTATAATAATTAATATATTTAGTGTCGCCCCTATAAACTAAATCATATACACCACTGGAACAAGGAAGATATATGTACTACACTTGACATCCACTGAGCGGTAAGTACCTACTTGACCATTTGAGGAATGTATTATAACACAAGCTGTCCCACCCATCGTTGCCCGGCCAAAAGTTCCCTCAGGTGAAATACATTGGCAATATTATAACTCATAAGTTATATGTTATAAGTATAAGTTCAAGGACTCAAAAACGCATTAATTGTATATATATATATTATAGCTGATCCCGTTCACCTCGTTGCTCGTTAAATTGTTAAAATAATATATGATTCAAACTTTGTTCAATTCGTTTATTTAATATTCTGTGTATGATGTTTAAAACTTAAATATGTTCATCGATCATCTTGAATATATAATTACTCGAGAGACACGCTTGTATGTTTGAATGCGTGAGACACGCAAAATGTTTTCAGTGAGACAATCCACAGCAGACCATTCGAAGTGCGTACGTAATTACTAGGGCCCGGATTTATATGCATTCGCATGTTTTTTTCTGAATAGTCCAAAAAATAGCTAGGTAAGCTACAAGTTTGATTTGTAATCAATAGATCCGAAATATAAAGTTTTATTTTGCATATTTTTGCATATTTTGTCCTTTTTTGACATGTACTGCATATTTCTGTATTTTTAATTTTACGATTTTTTTTTTTGCATATATACGGTTTTTAAATGCATAATATGTAATATTTTGGTTATTTTTATTAAAATTACGTAGATTATTTAATTTCTAATGGGAAAAAAATTTTCTTGAAAGCATCGTCACGTGTATTATTTTTTAAAACTGAGTTACCCTATATTCCGTTACCGCCACAACCAATAATTACTAGGTGGGGTACTTGGTTAGAGGCTGCTATTTATTATTCTGATCATTTTCAAGATTTTAGTAGCATAGTAAATATGTTTGACAAAAACGAGGTGGTATCCATACAAATTACCCAAAATTTAATTCAAGATCCAAATTTAACTAGTGATCTTGCTTATATAAAATCTCACTTTAATTTTTTGCCGAGTAGCATAACTTTATTAGAAAAAAAAATACATCTTTAAACGATTCAATTAATTTGATGAAGAATTTTGAAAATAATATTTCCAAAATACCAAACGGAAACGTCGGAAAAGCAATTCAAGACAAATTTCAAGCTGTTTTAAAGAAAAATAAAGGCTATGAAACCTTGAAAAAAATCTCTGCTTGTATTGATGGAACAAATGAAACTTTGGAAAATATGGAACAAAATTTCAGTCCAAGCGACGTATCTCTTAACTCTTTTTAAATACGCTCCCGTCACATCTGTCGACGTAGAGAGGAGTTTTTCAAGGTACAAAAATGTATTGGCTGATAATCGACGAACTTTCACATTTGAAAACCTGAAAAAAACATTCGTGGTACAATGCAATACGAATGCTTTTGGTATGTATTAATTTTCGTTTAGTCACATAATTTATTTAATAAAAATATTTAAATTTAAATTTTTCAGATTGAAATTACAAAATGTTGAAACTAAAAAAATGAATCAAAAATATATAGTATAATTTATTTGAACATAATATAAAAATAATGAAATATAAATTTTTTTTAATCAATTTTTGTGCATATTTTTTATTTTATAGGGTATATTTCTATAAAATAAGAGTATAAATGCATATTTTATAGTGCATATTTCTTAGGTTTTTAGAGCATATAAATCCGGGCCCTAGTAATTACAAATGTTTTATTAGCACATATTACGATGTACATGTGTCGAAAAAATTAGTCTCGGGAATACCATTTTTACTAATAGCTATATAGCTACAGGTCTAAAATTATATTCATTATTCAATCATGACCAATATCATTATGGCAACCTCTCATAAACAAAAATATATTATTATTTAGTTTATTTTCTTAAAATGATCTTACTTAAGAGTTATAAGGACCTTCTCCTGACAAAAAAAAATTAACGAAATCGGCCCAGCCGTTAGTTCACGTGTGATGCCGCGTCCAAGGGAAATTTATGTTTTATTTATATATAATATATATATACATAGGATAAATAAATATATATATATACACAGGATAAATGGATACATATAGTACATATAGGACACTGTTCAGCACATGGGAAAATGGGGGCGTAGCCAAAACCGCGAACTTCTAACTCCAAAAGTGCCGGATAAGAAATACAACTGCATACTTACTTAAGTTAAATGGACAAGGTGTTCATTGATTCACTTAACTTAATTTACATAGTATCCCTTAGGTCACAACTAAATAATACTGATGAATACGTCATACCGAACTTCGTCTTTTATACCTTTGAAGATCGAAATTTCTAGTATTATACGTCATCACTCCCTATTCTCGAACATTGTGGATTTTTCTAGAAAATTCCATAACTTTCTTTTTCACAATTATTGTTATAAAAAAATATTGAGATCCTTAATCGAGATAAGAACTATCTTAGATTTTAAGTTGGACCAAATTACACACAGTGTAAAAAATTTCATCAAGATCGGTCCAGTTGTTTCGGAGCACATCCCGGACTAACACTGTGACACGAGATTTTTATACATAAGATAGGATGAATACAATTTGTAAATCAAAATTTCCGCTGGATAAAATATTTTTATTTAACATGAAGTATGAAAAAAATTTATTTTTAAAATCTATGAATAATCATATAAATAAGGCATTACAATATTAAAAGAAACATTAAATGTCGTAAGTAGTATTATGTCTATATCTAATTAAAAAAAAAATTAATAATTTTCAGCAACTACTTAATATTATTACAATAATTATTGAAGATAAAACCCACACACCGCAAGAGTATATTATTAAATATTAATGAATACAATATTAATCCGAAATAAATATAATATAACACTTTTATTATATTATTATAAAATGATATACCTACCACATACGTGCATATGAGCATATGTATAAAATAAATGTATAAAGTAATAAAATATCGAAACCAGTACAAAGAGAGTAAGTAGGTTCTGAGAAATACTTAAAATTAACGGTGCATTTTTAAAAGTACCAACACAAATTTCATAATTTGTGGTAAATATTAATAATAGATTTTTACTGCTGGAATATATATTAATATTAAGTAGATACTTATTATGGTATTGTGTAGGTACTTGTATTATAAAAAGTAATTTAGCCAAAATTGAAGTTTTCTTCAATAACGTATACTTATTTAAAATCTGATTTTTGGATTAATTTCATTAATTCTATTGTTAATTTACTCAAAAACCATGTTTTCCAATTATTACTGTATTTTGTACTACTTAAGGAGAACATACAATCTTCTATTTTTCAAATGAAAATTACAGAATTATTATTATTTAATTTATATAAATATTTTATGCCAAACGGCGTACCCACACATAACCATTTAACATGATACCTAATATATGGTTTAACAATAACGGAACTATAAAACAGCTAAAGATAAAAAGGATTATTTAAATGATAAAGGTAGGAGAGCTAAAATAAAGGGGCTAGGTAAATTGGTTCCGCGATAATTTGGGTACATTTTTAAAGCGTTAAGTTGAGTCCCGCGTAAAAAAGTAGTGGGTAAGTTGGGTCATGGCTATTAACCCACTTACATATCTGTTCGGCCCGATCATTTAAGTTTTTACCAAGAACATAATATTATAATAAACACATATATTTTAATTTGTACCATAAGATTTTTTTATTTATACAATTTATTCCAAGAACAAAATATTATGTATTATAAAATAATATAATATAATATAATATAATATAATATAATTATAAAATTGGACTCCTAATATTTAATTAGACGATTATTTATTAAAAAATTAAATGAACTCAACTCACCCATTACTTTTTTTTTCCGGGACCCAATTTACCAATTCCGAAAATAAAACAAACCGAGACACATTTTTTCTAAAAATTATGTTGACGTACCAAAATCATAATTTTATTATCTTATTGAATTATATAATTTGTTTTTCTATACTTAGGTAATATGTCTACGATAGTAGATTTAGTAGCTTGGAACATCTTAGTAGTTAATACCAATCGATGAACATTTATCATTTTTAAAACTTGTCTAATAAATATTAGAGTATATTATGTAACCAAAACTATAAAAATAAATGAATAAACTTTTTAGTATAACTGTGAATCTACTGGTTTGAAATTTTAAGTTTAGATAGCTACATCAACATATTCAAAAAAATGATCTACTAAATAATTTGCAGGAAAAAGGTATTTTATCATTTGAAAACTTAGGACACTTCTAGTAGTAGAAAAAAAAAATCACAAGAATTTAAAAATGGGGCATGCTTTTGTTAATCACCTCTTATGTATATATGAATATATGTATATATGGACGTTATACTACGACTTCTATTCATTTCTCTCGTAAAACCGTCTGTGCAATTCGTCGATACCGGACAAAAACCACGTGCCCGGGAACAGCTGGCCCCTGTCGCCGACTGGCACATAAGACGCTCGGTGCAGCGACTTCTGCCGGGAGTCCAGCACGTCCGCGAACTGTTCGGGTGCGAGACGCGTCCGTTCGTCCAGACGGTCGACGCCCTTCTTCAGGTTGCCGATCATACCGGGCAAGCCACCGTTGTCCACCACCTTGATTGAGTACATGGACGATGCCAGACCGGAACCATAGGAGAACATGCCGATCCTCTTGCCGGGCAGACGTTCGGGCGGCACCGACAACAAATATGATGCCAGCCCACTGTATACGGACGCAGTGTACGTGTTGCCGACACGCGACGCAAGCAACAATGACGGTTCAGTCTTGTCCTCGAAAACCGTCCTGCTGAGCTCCACGAAAGTCTTCTCGGCGACGGCCCAGTCCTGATGTTGATGGTTCTCGTCGTTTGCGCCGATTTCGTTGATGAAATCGTTCATGTACAAACGGGCAAGGGATTTGCGCACCAGTTTGCAGTACGGCGCGTGGAACACGAACGAATCGAACCGGTTCAGGCCGACTTCGCCGCCGTGGCACTTGCTCAGATAGGACTCGTAGCACCGGTCCAGGGCGTTCAGGTAACAGTCGACGGACAGCTTGCCGTCTACCACCGGATACTCGGACGACAGGTCGGGCTTGTAGAAATCGTACGCGTGGTTCATGTACGTGCCCCGCAGGCCCCGATCGACCACCAGCGAGGCGCCTGGACCGATCAACATCGCGACGGCGCCGGCGCCTCCCGTCGGACGCGCGTTGCCCTTGGCGTAGACCGCGATGTCGGCCGCGACCACCACGGCCAGCCTGCCGTCCCACGAGCTCGACTCGATCCACGACAGGGCGTTGAACAGCGCGGCCGTGCCGCCGTAACAGGCGTTCGTCGTATCGATTCCCTCCACTTGGAAATTGCCGCTGGCCTCAAACAGCTTCATCAACACCGTTTTCGCGCTTTTCGACTTGTCGATTATGGTCTCGGTGCCCACCTCCAGGCGACCAATGTCCGAGTAGCTGATGCCGTTGTTTTCGATGAGCTGACTGACCGCCGTCAGGCACAGCGAGTTCACGTCTTCCAGGTCCGTGCAGAACCCCATTTGCTTTTGGCCCAGGCCGACGGTGTATTTCCCTTTGGACACTTGGTCGTATCGTTCCAAATCGGCTTGATCGACGTACAACGATGGTACTACGACGTGAATGGCACATATTCCAACATCTTTTGGCCAGTGGTCCATGATGAACTACAATAAAATCGTTTGGAGTTTCGATTTATTATTATAGGCACCTGTCAATTAAATCAAAACAGAAGAAACTTTAACAAGATCGATCATCACTGATAACTTATTTGAAATAAAAATAGAAAACAACTTTAAGGGCATTATATTATTATGTATCTTTTGTAAGCCTAAAACCAAAATTAAAAAAAGCATTCTTTTATTTAAATATGTCTCATATTGTTGTGCTTAAAATATTCAAAACAGAGTATCTGTTACCTCCACAATACAGCTATTATAAGAACGTGGTTCTTTTCTCACTTAAAAAAAAATGTATAATATTTTTCGATAAGTATAATAACGTACGATCGTTGTGTATTGTATATTTTACATAGATCCAGAATAGATAATGTTTTCAATAGCTGCACAATACTATCACAATACCTTCAATGTAATATAATGTATTCCGTATTCACAGCTCAGCAAACTTTTAAACTTATATAGTTATATATAAACTGATTATAAAGTCAAGAAGAATATATTTAAAAAGGTGAATAAGTGGGTATCGCTCTATTGTATTTGTATTGTAGTTGTCGAATGTCGAGTATGTCATTGTAATGGATATTATGTTAAATTTGAATTTAATGATAAATCATAAATGATTGTGTAATATATAAATAATATAAGTTTTGTTAATAATAAAACTGTAAAATGAATTTCCAATATGAGTATATTTGGGTGTGGCACATATAACGCAATTAAATTATTTTTGTAAAGTAATTAACATTCTCATAAAATTAGTAGATATTACACAACAATAATTACACCCTGATTATCTAAAAACATGATGACACAACAATTAATATGTACACCACAATTCATCCGACGCAATAATAATTGTATCTCGATCATCCATGAACAATACAATAATCGTCCAATTACAAACACATACCAATATTATATGGAAGATCATACAAGGCAATTCAGATATTGAGCAACAAAGTGGGGATGACAAACTTCAATACACTTTATATAACCATCACATCCACAGAGAAGCAAGCTCTCTCGGATCACTTGTTAGTGGCTCGAAATACTCGTCTTGGCTCTCAAAAACATTCGTTTTCAGCTCTGGACATGCACACTTCTCTTTTTCATATACTCTGCGGATATTCTACGGACACTCTTCGGATCACTTGGATTAATCGGACTGACTCATTCTCGGATCAACAATTGTTCCACGACAACACGATGTTTTGAAGCAGTATGATACGGCCTGGAGGCTGTATTCTATGAAGACAAAGCACAATGTCCTACATCCACGGAAAATGATTTCGACATACCTCCATACATCAAAACACAACTCTTTTATTATTTAAAAGTTAAATTAATTCATTTCTATACTAAAAATCTTACTATATTGCGTTAATGTAAACACCAGGTATGAACTTATATTGGTATATTCATCTTAATCTTTATAATCTAAAAAACACTCATGTTATTTTCATTACTGCCTACGATTTTCTCCTATATCCTTTATACCATTTTATCCAATCATAATATTTTAATATACATTTTTAACGAACTAAATAAGGTTTAAGGTAAATTACTAAAAAATACAAAATATATTGAATACCAATGTAAGTAACATTTAACATGGTAACCAAAAAATCGTATGATAATGACGTGCATCGACTCACAAATAAAGATTATAATATTATAAGCACATCGCTTACAGCTATTCGAGGTAAGTGACACACTTTTTACACACATACAATAATAATACAGTTGTAGTGGAATAGAAACAAACTTATGAACTAATTAACATCTCATATACTCCGGCCCACGAGAGTCCATACTTAATCCTCGCATCGAGACTGACGATGACGTTCACGACGACTGCCGGACGAATTTTCTCCCGCCATAATTCAGTCCCCACCACTCGGCTGAATACAGCGTGTTATAAACATATAATTGAATATTATCGTATTACTTAAACACGTGGTTTGCTGCAGTCGCTCCGTATGCACGAAAATGTCAACGACGGCTATCGACGATCTTTGGCAACCGATTTCCGATCTGTATGATTTTGAGTATGGAAGGGGAACCGATGCGCAGCGACGGACGCCTTTGGACATATGGACTCTCGTGGGCAGGAGTATAGTTTTTCTATAATACTCATTAAACTCCCCCCCCCGTGCTACTTCCTTGTTCTTTTGTTTCTAATCCATTACAATTGTATGCGAATCAGTTTGTATAATAATTTAAAAAATAATTTTCTTGATTATAAATATAGCGTTACTTTACGGTAATTTTGTTTTAGAGATATGATAAGAAAACGTACGAGGAAACTTTTATTACATTCCCAAATGTTAGCCGTGAGAATAAAAAGTGTTAACGAATTTCCAACTGAAAAATAATTTGCATTTTTTTTTTTTTTGAACTTCCGATAATCGTAAAAAATGGTTGTAGATCTTTTTTTTTAATTGCACAATTAACAACTAATGTGCAACCTTACGTTACAATTTACAAGTTTTGTGATAAAGTAATATAATATTATTTATTGACAAAAAAACTTTAAAAATCGAAAAGTTTAGATGATAAAAAAATAGTACAGGGGTGTCCAACAAGGCTGCCAATGTTGGTCCACTACACAGCTAATCCATACTCTAAATATTTCTTACTTTCTTAGTTATAACTTATTACTAATTAACTACTTGTCCAAAATTTAATTTTTATATAGATTGAAATACTCCAAATAATATTCTGATTCGGAATCGGAATTAAAAATGTATGGTGTCATTCAAAAAAGTAAAAACTTAAAAAATATATATAACGATCATAAATAGTAAAATATATAATTTCTGTTCAGAAATGTTGTGTTTGAAATTAAACAAAAAAAATATGTAAAAAAATATTTTGAAAAAAAAATGTATGTTTTTGAAATAGTGAGTGTGACATTTAAATGGGTCATAAGGTACCATTATAATGATTGGTCTACTCAATCAAGAAAATAATTAAGTCACATAAATAAATTTTGTGTTGCTTATTGTATTATCTTATAAGTTACCTATAAAAACTCTTAAATGAAAAATATTATTAGAATACTAAAAACTAACATCCATTATAGCTGTAATTAGTATTACAGTGTGATTCACCAAATATGCTCACTATAGCCCAGCTATATGTTCCAAACCCATCGGACATTGTCATGTAGTTATAAATTATCCTTAGTACAAAAAGCTAGAAAACTTAAAAACTACTAGTTTGAATTTTGATTCTAATATGTCAAAGTTTTCAGAAAAATTATATGTTAAATAAATTGCATTAGAAAAGGGTTGTTTGAATTTTGAAAAATAGAAGTTTGAGTCACCTCAGAATAATAATTAAGTAGGTACAAAAAAAATTCAAAAATTTAAAAAATGGTGTGAGTACATTTAAAAATCAGAATTTGAATAATTTCATTATTTAAAGAAAAAATTCACCATGCTTGGTGAATAATCCTGTACATATCAGTATTAGAAACATATAAACATTATTTAAGGACAGCAAGTTATGATTTAACAATTAGATACAAGGTGTAATAGAAAGATCTGATAAATTAAATAACTTTTCACATTTTTTTTAAAATATAATTACTCGTTTAGATGAAATTAATTTGAACGCAATAACTTTTTTAAAAATATTCTTTTTGGGAAGTTTCTGATATTATTTCTTAAATTATTTATTATCCATATAAAATAAGTCTATTTAGTCATAGAACCTACTATTTAACATAATTTTTTTCCATAAATATCGATAAAATGTTATTTGTTGGTTAAAAAAACTTAAAAATTTAAAAAAAGGTTCCTAGTTTATTGTTTCAAAGGCACATTAAAAAAATTAAATATCCAAAGTAACAATTTTTTTTTTTAAGCATTTAAAATTCAAATATTGTCATAATACGTAAAAATGAAGAAAATTTCCAAATTATTTTGAGTTCAAAATTTATAAAAAATTTTCTTTTTAAATCTAAGATTTGAAAATGTAATACAAGATTCCCCATAAACTTGTTTACCTTTATCAAAAAAAAAAATGTCTACAAAAAAGTCAAATTAAATTTTTATGATTGTTTGAAATTCATATTTTTACAACATTTGATATTCACTCGATTTGTCATGTAACGATTTTGTGTCCGAGCCTAATTGAATATAACTTACTATTCTCTACACGCAGTTATTAATACAGCTGAACCTTCTTACTAACCTATTTATTTACAATTAAAAAAATACACTAATAGGTATATTATATACTTACTTGATTATTTGTTTGGCAGGTAGTTCTTTATTCAGAATATAAATATTGTTGACGACTTGAAAACTCACTAAAGAAAATGAGACATGTTACGGTCTGAACTTCGGATCTAAAGTGAACGAAAAAATGAATCGTGAATCGAAGAAACCAGTAAAAAAAAAAAAAATAATGAATTCTATAGTTATGTAAATATATTTTAGTAGATACCTTCAACTACAATTGAGCTGAGTCTACACTACAGTACATTTATATTATATGGAAGGGGAAATATTGATATATTATAATATAATATAAAAGTATACAACTATATTTAAGTATATAATATCAAATTTGTATAAACCAAAAGTATAGGTACCTATAATATAATATTACTCAGCTACGATATATACCTACATACCGGATGTTTAATTTTATCAAGCCACTTATAACTTATAACAATTTAAAATAAAATCTTAACATAATAATTCTTTCATATTTTACAAACATATTATATGAGCTTTACACATTTTTAATTACATAATAAGACTAAATTATATTTTGATCATCAAGCCCCATGACATTTTGACGTGTTATATGTTTATACCTACCTATACCTATCAAAGTTTTTTTAAGTAATTCAGAACTATGAAATATGATTAATAAAACTGTATAGAGGTTCTGTTTGGTCTCCTCTTCATGGGTTTTATGTCATTGAGCATTGTTCTTAATCGCCTGTCATGTATAAGTATTAGGTAGGTATATTAGGTACCATGTATTGCTTATTTATGTTTAGGTAACACTGTAACAAATTGTGATAATATAATATATTATATTATATTATAATAATAAAAAAATGTATACCTACAGAAGATCGATAATTTTATTTATGTGGAATAATATACAGAATCTTATCAGTGGCGTATTTTGGTTTTTGTCTTGGAGGGGGGGGGTGGTATGATTTTATCCTGTAGCCCCACCTTTAAAGTTAGAGGCCTTAAGTTAGGACTCAGAACATTTTTCATATTAGATATTGTAGCCTATGGAGGTGGGGGGATTAATCCCCAAGATACCCCTGTAAATACGCCACTGATTAATATACCTAGTTAGTACATAAAAATATATTCCGAACAATCCGAACGGCGAGACTTCTAATGGAATTTCATTATACCTATATTTTTATTTCTATTAGTTATACGGCAGATTGATTTAATTTTTCCAAAATATATGGCATAAATCTGTAAACATCCTTTAACTGGGGCGATAACGTTGTGGGTCTGTGCGGTCTAGTAGCTCAGTAGTAGATCATAAACCAGACCACCAAGAGCACCCCCACCCACAACACGGGTTTGATTCCCTGTCAAGCTGCTTGATTAATGACGTTATTGCCCCGGGAGAAGTTAACAAATCGATATAATATGAAATAGTTTTTGGCATAAATAATATTATTTAGGTATAGGACATAATATTATTGTAGAGGGATTAAAACAAAATTGAGTAACGAAAAGAATGCAACATTTTCCGGTGCACTTCCCGTGTTGCTAGAAACTTGAAATTTGAACGATATCTTGATGGTCTCATGCAAAGTATGAGTTTATAAGTTGAAATTCGTCCCCCTTCATTCCTTTATAAGTATCATAGCTCATAAGAATTATTCAATGATCATATATGTTTTTCTCAAAAAGGAGAAATTTATTGTTTTATATAATTTATTTTATTATTGTTATTTATTTACTTGAAAATATATTTTATTTAAAAAAATAAAGTAAACCAAAGTTGTGTATGTTTAATTTTTGGAAAAAATCTTTTCCTGCGAAATGTGTTTAATGAATCGTCATCATTCTTTAACAAAAAGAAAAAGGAATGGATGCCACATTTAAAAATCCACTTTAGTAATTATTGTGCCTCTTTTTAAGGTACCACACAAAAATAGATAAAAGGGTAGTTATTATGTGATATGCAAATTAAATCTTGTACCTATACAAAAACTGTAGGTAATTTGCATAATTGTTCACCATATCAAAATTGTAATCCACGCCACTTTAAAATAATTAATAATAGTGTGTTTTATTTATCAATTAAGTTCATAGGTATACGACTATACCTACCTTATGTATCAATGATTAATATTTGAATATTTCAGTTAACAATAAAATATGTAAAAATCAGGAATATTATTAGTTATTATATTAAAATGTATTGCCCAATAATTTATTGTTCATGTTATTAATATAATCCATGTTAATTATATTCACGTTTAATGTGGTATAACTGATGTGTGCTCGGTAAATGTATCAGGTAAATTCCGATAACTGAAATTGAAAGTGTGGTGCATCTTAGAGTCTCTCATATAAGAGACCATAGGCGTACCAAAATATGCCTTTAGGTTAATGTATGCCTTTTAATCTGGTGAGAGCGGGATAAATCAAAATATTTCGTTCTGAATGGCATTTTTTTTCGCTTACTTTTGCTGTGTTCATAAATTAATTTTGAATGTGGTGGCTTAAATAAACAAAGAGACATTTAAGTAGTAAGATATAAAATATTAATATAGGTAATTAAATATTACACGCACTTTACAATTTGTTTAACTTAGATACTATTGTTTTCCGTATTTTTCATACGGTATGATCTGTGGGTAATACCAATATTATCAATATAATATGCTTTTGTAAATAGTGTATTATTATTTAGTCATCGTGTTATGAAAAATTATATATTTCCACCTAAAATGTTTGTATCGCGTAACAGCTAGATAACGAACATTATAATATAGTTCAAAACTGCCGAATAATAACTTATTAGTTACTAGTAATTACTATCTAAAACCATTATTTATAGAATATTATTATTTATATGAAAACAACCATATAAAAACAACCATATATTATGCAACATCAATGTTTATTAATAGACAAGTCAATATAAATAACATTTTGATTTTCTCTATTCGTTCAATCGCTTACTCGGAGTCCCAATAAATCTGTGAAAATTTCATCGAAAGTGTATGTCTGTAATTTAAATACAAAACAATATTAATATTATATTAATATAATAATATAATAAATTACTATTTATTAAAATGTTTATATTGAATTACATAGGTAGGTACATAGGTACCTTATAAATTTCGAAAAAAAAAGTTAAATATTAATTAATTATAATATAGCAACATCAAAAAATTGAAAATAATATAATATTCTGCATAATATAATATATTTTTCAATATTTATGTAAATAGCGTACTTTCTACTTATACACAAAAACTATTGACTTATATGCTTTAAATATGACACAATAACATTATATTATCACTCAATAGTTTTTAATACTATACAAATAAATTGTAATCTGTATTTTTGCAAGTCAAACATCTTGCATGAAATAAAAAACAAAGATAACTAGTTACTAGTTACTTTAAACCAGGTTAATTAAACCTATATTTGGTGTAGGTACCTATCTGTGTAACGAGTAAGTGACTGATTAAATTGTTGTGCAAATACATTTGAAAATATTTGAACACAAACTTAAATTAATGGAGTTCAAAGGAATGATTACGGCAAATAGTATGAAGTACATACCTATACAACTAATAATAAGGTATACCTATGTCCTATATAGGCTATATACAACCATAAATCGAGGGGCAAGTATAAACCAATAAACTTGAATAGCAATAGTTAAATAATATTAAAGGCTCTGCTTGTATAATAAGGGGCAATATATAGGCAATTGCATTCTCGGCGCCCGCGCCCGTAACTTTGAGTTAGTCGTAAGCTCGTTAATGATAATTAGGGTGATTGTTACCGGTCTTAGGGCTATCTACGACACCCTCAGCAGGTGCACACATGTCATGGGCACAGACCGATAAAAATGTAGAGGACATCGTACCCGCATATATTGTCTCCGTCTTACAAAATGTTCGTCCGGCAGTTTCAATTTTGTATTGTTAACTTAAAAATTAAAGTTAGGTAATTAACCTATTATGAAACTTAAATGTAACTATATTATTGACTGTGTTCTCTCGTTGGTTTCTTTACTATATTTTACATTTTAAGTAAGTTATGAGCATATAAAATATTTATATTTAAAAATTGTTCTTAAAAAAGTGTTCTTACATTTAAGTTTGATGAGAGGTAAATTCACTATAATATTTAAACTAACAACACAAAATTGGAATTGCCGGACGTAGGTACGTACCTACATTATGATAATATATATTATGAGTTAGTAAGACAGAGATAACACATGCGGGTAGGTACGACGTCCTCTTTAAAAGCATGATTTTTTGCTCAAGCCTTACAAGAAAAGCTCTCACGCCTCAAAGGTAGTATATTAGAGTGGTCTGATTTCATCATTATTTTTTTTTTTTTTTGTGAGAGGATTTTTTAAAGACTTATATTCTTGATTACGTTGATTAAAACAAAAAAAAAATTAATAAATTGAAACTTGTGACAGTTGGTCATATTCAAAATCGTATTTTACGGTTTCGAAATAGAATTATGAATATCAAATACAAAGCGCCCTGTAAGAAGTATTTTTCTTTCCAAAAAAAAGTTATCTAAATCGGATCACTCTAGAAGGCGTGAGAGTTTTCCAGAAAGGCAAAGTTTTTGAGCAAAAACCCAGTTCTCGCGCAGGCCCCTTAAATGTAAATATTTTTAAAATGCGTTAAATAAATGTACGTACGAATGGCAGAGACAAATGAACCAAGTTCGCGTTTTCATTTGAACTTGACGATATGTCTTTGGTCGTTTTTAGCAATGTGTTCAAAATAATTTCTAACTCACGAGGACTAATTTTTTCACCTAGATAGTGACAAAAAAGTGTTTACAAAAGCAGAACATTCAACTTATGACTGTTATTTAACCTATATTTGTCATCATGTGTACAAACGATTCTCTGGTCAGTATCTTGTTTTCTCCGTAAGCATTTACATATTGGTCATTTTGCATTAGTTTATTGAACGACAGACGGATTTCGTTACATTTAATTCTTAATTGTGGCTTATGGTTCAGATACAAAATAACAAACTCTTCGAATGTCATTGTAGTTGGATGGCCTGCTCTACTGAACATTTCGTATAGCATATTAGACAACTGGAATTTTCAAGTATGACCAACACATTTGTATCAAACGATTATACAACTTAAACTATTTGCTATTGTACATATACCTATTAATTATTATATTTTATGCATACAAATACACAGAATATTTATTTATTTATTTTTTATTTATTCTTCAAGAAGATAATGAGCCCCACTCAATATAAATTTAAATATATATACGTACTCGTATAATACGTGCAATTTGATTTCAAAATAATATTATGATATCGATCTATAGCAACAAAAAAAACTTCAAAAAATCAATAAATATTTTTTGTTGAGTGGAGTAGGTACTATATATTTGGTCTTTTTATAACCATTAATAAAGGCTGTAGTAATTATCTGATTTACTTCTGTTTCAGACGGAAAATATCCCATTGCTCTCACGAGAAAAGACACGTTATAAACGTCCACGTAATCTCTTATAACTGTGGTCTCTGGATTTTGGCTGTTTGCTAATTGAACACAAGAAAAATATTCTTTTAATTCTGAAATTTCCGGTCCATTTCTTCCGCCTTCTAGAAGATAACTGTATGCTTTTAATCCAACACCGCCATATTTCTCCAATTTATCTAAATAGCTTAACCAAAAATAAAATACATATTTTAGAATTTACACAATATTATTCGAAAGGGTCAACCATTAAATATAACTTTTAAGTGTAGATTGTAGGTATGAGCCTTTTAAATGGTTATAAATTGTATTTTAACAATAAATGTGATTGTAAATTTGAAAGACAAGGAGATAAATTATCGCATAGTAAAAAAATTGAATAAGAATTCAAATGAACTCGAATAAGTTAGTTTCAGTCTTGATTAGGTTGATAGGCATTATTGAAATTGTTTCAATCATTTTTTTTGCAAAATTATTTGGACCGTTAGGAAAACTGCTAAGTTGACTTTTTCAAAGCATCTACACCAAATTGTCAATACATGTACATAAGACTTTTCGAAAATATGTTTTTATGTTTATGTCATAGAAAAAAGAATATTATTGTAAAACATAATTCACTTAAATGTAAATGTACATAATAATATAATAATACGTAATGATGCCCAAATGCATACCTATTTGATAGATACCTAGTATCTACTTATCTACAAGTTGAATATCAACATATTGCTAGGTTATCTAGGTACCCATACGGTATTACGGTATACGTATAGCCGTATAGGTAATATGTACCTACTTAGTCTTAATGTGTTTTTTTGAAAGTAAATATACAATTAATTGTGTACACTTTATTTGTATAATTACAGTTCTTAAATAATATGTTGTATTACTTCGTATTCACAGACCAGATTATCATCGAAGGGCTATTTTCGCTTATACTAAAGATGTACAGGCTATCCATTGAAACACCAATATCGATAATCTAAAAAACAAAAATATGTATACCGAAGAGAATGGTTTCTAATTATTTTAAATTTTACAGGATACAATTAATCATATACAATATAACGAAACAAGTAAACGACTTATCCAAAAAAAAATTATTATCATATTATAATAGTTTGTATAATATAATATAGGAATACATTATATGTCACTCGCTCCACTTGCGGAGTCTGTCTTAGTTACTATTTTTTATCACCTAAAACGATTCGTATCAATATATTATATATATATTATTATTTATTTATTTATTTATTTAATTGATTTAACGGGCTTGAGACCCTTTGAATATAAGGTATAATACAATTGACAAATAATACTTATAATTATACTTATAATTTATAAGTAAACGAATATACGATTATAATATGAGCCAACTGACTTTTGTTCCAGAACCGAGCACTGCCGCGTTCTTGTACGGGTTTCCATCGATGGGCTGTCGTATAATGCCAATATCTGTGTCATTGCAAAAAAATATATCATTGTTGAACTTGGGAGACTCCTGGAAATACATTATACTGTTTGTAACATGTCTGGTATTTGCAGTTATCGAACACAAAATTGACGATCGCCATATGTGGCATACCCATATAGGATAGTTTTTGGTGGTAGAATAATAATATATTATTAACATTTACTCGATCAGTTCAACACTTTAGAAAGGTTCGATTCGAATTTGGGATCGATAGATATAGGTAGGTATTATATTTATATGCATTTTCCTAAGCTCTTTCCTTTTATAAAGTTAATACTTTTCATAGTTGGGCTCGTGCATAATATATTTTACACGTGGAATGGACTTTTAAGAAATCTGCCAGTACGATAGTGAAAAAATAAATATAAATGTATCATATTATAATATTTTTAAATATTCAAATTGGTGAAAGTAAAATTCTGTGGAATGATGACAGAAGTTGATATGTACATTTTCTGAACTTTGCCGCTACATATATTTTAAAATAATGAAGTTTTTGTCGTTGCACATAGATGGCACCAAGCACACAATAAAGATATAAAATAATGTTTTTCCACCACTTGAAATACACTATATTTTCTAAAATATTTAAATGATAATTCAAAAGTTAACAAAATGTACATATTAGATTTTGCCATCTTTCCACAGAAATATAATATAATGCAGTTAAATATGACCTTAAAAATACCATGAAATATTAGAAAATATATGAACAAGCTACGATCGATTAATGAGTGCCAAAATACTGAGAATTTAATATAATTTTATGACGGTAGGTGCCTTATATAGAGTATTAGATGAGATTTAAGTGACAATGAAACGAACGGAATACAAGAAACCTACAAAGAATACAGCGAATTTATAAAAAATATAAAAAAATCCAGGAACGACTTGATTAAGTGATGATTGATTCGGGAAATGAAATAAAAATTTAAAAAAACCTCAAGCTTAAACTTTTATTTTATTTTGTGTTCTATACCTATTTCCTATATTCTACCTACATAGTTATCGTATTGTTTTATTTTTAATATTGTTCTTCAATTAGTATAATACTTACTTTCATTACTCGAATAGGACTTCCGAGATTGACTCCATGAGTGGTACAGATGCACCGATTGTTGTCCCACAAGGATAAACGTAACTATAATACATAAAACCTTATGAAAATAAATGACAAAATAGTAATATGTAACAAACAAGTGCTGTGTAAGTTACATCATTTCCGCTAATCATAAAATTGAATTCCTGCGTATTGATTGTCGATTTCGTCATGCATTGAGGTTCATTAAATGATTCTGTTTTCATGGATTTCACAATTTTGGGGGGCTCCTTGTCTTTTCTGTAAAAAATTCAAAACGATCACTGCCGATAACTGATATTAATATCGATGTACTATGTATAGGTAATAACGCGATAACAATATTATGTAATTTATTTTACAATCGGGCTATAAGCTCGTTTGAAAAGCACAACTACTGAAATGGTTGATTATATTTTTGCAAAAGTGTAGGTATGCTCCATGATTACGTTTTATCAAATTCTAATGCAATGATTTTGTGATCCGCCCCGACGCTGTAAATCATTAGACTGGTACTGTACTCCGACAGTAAAATACTTCGAATTAATTTATTGTGGACTTCGAAGCACCAGTAGTATTTAACTTTGAATTTGTTCGATTTCTGCAGCTGTATCATGCCGTACATGTATATACCAAACAAATTGTCCTGCATCATAATAATATGTTTGAAAATCAGAAAATGTGATGTATGAAAATTGCAGTAATGCAATGTCTATGTGTGTGGTGGATCTACATGTTAGACCATCGTTTGTCGACCTGGGGTCAAGCATGTGGAGATTTAAGACAATACAAATATTAGGAATCTCAATAATAAATAAACATACAACACTAATGACTAAATTCTACAACTATATGAGAATAAATTTAACAAATTTGATTAAGCTAAGGATAGACATGGGATTTCAGGCCGTCAACAACAACATAGCCATTATAACTATATTATTTTAAGAATGACTATTAATATTTGAAGATTTGTTGTACATATTATAGTAGGTATATCGAATATATGGTAAAACAAATACAGGGTTTAACAGTTACAAATATTTTGATATCTGTGCTTTATGATTCGATACACGTATCGATTAGGTACTGGTATTTATTTTTAATGCTAATCTATAAACAATGTATTTTCTAGGGTTCTTAAAAATCATATAACTATTTTGAGGTCGTCAAAACAAAAATGTTGATAGACACTGTAGATAAAATTGCACATACGCTTTAGCCAATAGGTAACTAGGTAAGCTATATATTTAGTGTTGGGTAAGTTACTTTTAAAAAGTAATTAAGTTACTTTACTCGTTACTGTAATAAAATTGTAATGAAATTTCTTTTCTTTTCAAATAGTAAAGTAATTTATTACTTTCTCATTACAAAAAAAAAAAAAAAAAATGTAACATCTTATAGAAAAACATTACCTATGGTAAAAAGGTAAAATTTGAAAAAGATGTACAGTTAAATACATAATCACATAACAACAGTAATTAGTTATGAGTTATGAATATTAAAAAATAGTAGTAATAGTACTAATTAATTATACCAATATATCAATGGTACCTAATTAATCATTAAAGGTATAGTTAAGTATATTATGTATTTATGTCACAAACAGACAACATAAACCTTAGGTATGTGAAAATAAAATCATAATACATAGGTATGTAGAACAAAATAAGAACTTATAAACTTATAAAAATAAACTGTTTTTATAAATGCCAAAATTTAATATTTATAACAGTATACTTTTGATTTTATTTAACTTTCAGAAAAATAATGTTATATTCTAATGTAAATTCTAAATAGAGTAGGTAATAACTAATAAGTATTTTTAAATTGAACAGTTTTTGTACAACACTAATTCGACATGTCAAATGTCAAAACCATTGAAAACTGAATTGTGGAGAGTTAAAATTAAATATACATACATATTAGATTCGTTAACATAATAATACCCTCATTATAGACGATTTTTTTTCAATTCGCAATAGGTATTTAGGTACTAGGTAGGTACTTAATAATTCGAAACTGTAACGAGTTATTCTGTAGAAATTACTTATCAAAAGTAATTCCATTACATTTTCGTTACATGGAAATAATTCTAATGAAAGTACGTAACGCGTTACAAGCAAAGTAACGCCGTTACAGTAACGCGTTACTTTTGTTACGTTACTAGCCAACACTGTATATATTACGACGTTGATCAAACGCTATCTAAATAGATATATATATTAAATTGCATCATAAAGCAACGATCTTTCTTCGAAGTCTTTCTTATTTTTAAATTATTATACTCGTACCTAGGTATATAGTATTATGAATACTAGCTGACACGGCAATACGTTGCTATTGCTAGGTGTTTGCGATTATACTAGCAGTATATTATTATCAGATGTAGGCAATCTACCTGATAATAATCTGCGGTAGATCGCGGACCTTGCGTGGTGCGTAAGTAAGTGTATAAGTTAACTCTAAACTCTAAATGATCAAAGTTATACAATAAATTAATACAAAATCCTAACCTAACCTAACCGTAGGTACTACAATCCGATTAATAAAAAAAAAAAAACCAAACACTTGTACAAGTTAGGTATAGATAGAGAAGAATAAAAATATTAAAATAAGAAAAAATCAATGTAAAAACAATACAATTAATAGTAATATTATTATTATTAAAACCAATATAGCAACCATTTAAAAACAAAAATTTCTAAAAATTACAAAGTAAAAATTTGTTCACAGAAACCGGTTGAGACCCTTTTTTAAATCCCTTATTTGAGAACCTCTCCGGGTTAGACCTCTTATTTACATTTTTTTCAAGATAAAATGTAGCTCATCTTTTTCCCCAGGGTCTAATCTATCTCTGTACCAAATTTCATCGCAACCAGATGAACGGTTTAGAATTGCACAGGTACAAACATTGTTTGTCTTTTATAGTTTTATATATATTTAGATTATATAATTTATATGCAGAACTATTCGCCAAGCATGCTAACTCCATTTTTCTGTTTTCTAGTTATTTAAAATATGATTTTTCAAACATTTTAAATATATTTTAGGCCATATTTTCAAGTTCTTGAAATTTGTTGTACTACTACTTAAGGAGTGTCCTGTGAAGATATTAACTTCTAATTTTCAAATGAGAACTCCCTTCCCTTTTCTACTTTAAATTATTTAGTGGATCATTTTTCTAAACATTTTGACGTACCAGAATCAAAATGTTAACTAGTAGTTTTTTGTGGTTGATACTTTTTCCCAAATTACAATTCATATTATATATTTATATATTTTATAATATGACATTATACAGAGTAAAATACTAAAATGTATATTGTATTATATAGAAAAATCTCATAAGTAACACTTACGGTGTGAACCACATACTTCGAAGAATCGCTAAACGTTATGTGTTGAACTGGCGATTTGTTCCACTTGAACGATATGTTGTCTATTGGAGTTAAGGTATAAGGGTCTACAAACTGAAACAATCCATCCGAGCGACCGTAACAAAGATATTTTCCTGAAAAATGAGAAACTTAATAGTGTAAAAAAATTATGCACTTATATTATAGTTGATTTTTGGTTTGTCACATTCAAATATTCAATAATAGGTACATGCCATTTGTGGAATATTTTATGCAGGTGATCCGATGGTCTTCTTTATTCTTCCGGTCACCGATCATGCTTATGCTAGTTTTTTTCTTTCGATGGTTAAACATAATGAGCCCTCCTATTGAGTTTCCCATTATTATATCTCTCCTATTATAATGAAAATAATAATATTTCTGTTACAGTATTGAAAATATCAATATAATATTATATGCAATATTTGTTATAGAAATTTAACCTACACAGCAAAAATGCGACGTCTTACCGGGTGGGGTGTACTGCTAATGCGGTGATAAATTCTACTTCACACTGATCAAATATATAATCAGACCTTTTGTTGGAAATATCAATTTGAAAAATTCTGCAGTTTTTCGTGCCTAATAAAGACACATATAAAAATGTGCATGTTTAATAAGAAATCATCTCCTCCGATCAATTAACTCTTTGTGTGGTTAAAAATCACGTAGGTAAATATAATAGGTACTTATAAGAAATGGACTGGATTTAAAATCTTGGTCGGTGGAGAAATCGGCACCGATTTCGGGGCTGCTGTCGCACTCAGGCACAGAGTCGTTAACGAGCAGGGTTTTGTTTACTAAGTTTTTTACTGATTTTTCGTAAGTACTCGAATTTCCTCTCCCTGTAGGTTAACAGTATTCTAATACAATATTCACGTAACATATTATCATAACAATAATATGCTATAATGCCAATTAATTTTAATACCATTTTCTACATGCATTTTATCGTTAATCATTGAAATGGAAGTAATGGGATCGCCAACAAACACGTTCAAGTGGTACAGTACACGCAATGATTTATCGTAAAAGAAAATATCACCGTTCGTATTGCCCGTCATTATATGACTGGAAGAAAGTAGATTAAAAAAAAATAATAATCAAACATCATAATAGTGGTAAATACGTTTGGACACAAATTATAGTAGTAATAGAATGCTCGTCCAATTTGACGCGTTTTAAATATTTCTTGTTGTTTGTTATCAGTTCATATTTAATAATTGTCGACACATCATAATCGTTATCATCCCATACAGTTACCCAACCTAATAGGGATCGAATAAAAATTATTATATACTGACATATTAATTCGAGATACCTAACCACAATACCACATAAATCGAAACAATTTTTAACTGTTATAAATCTGCTGTTGTGCTATACCTTTTGTAGTCGCTGATACAACTTGGCGGGTGTTTGTTAAATACGCCGACTGTGTATAAATATTTTTTTTCTGTACTACATTTTTGGTCGGAACATTGATTATTACTTTATTCACATTATCTACATTTGTTGATGGATTTTTTTTTTTTTTTTTAATATTTTTATCCATTCTGTCCAGAGTCATAAAAAATACAAGCTTTTCGGTAGTCAGACAATAGAAGTTTGTATTATCGTAGCAACATGCTAGATGCACAATCGTATCAATACTGTTGTCGAGTTTTGTTGAACCTATTTACCAATTAATGTATTTTAACGAAGAGCATTTATAGGGCAATTCTGGTGATTCACCAAGCATGCTCACCCTCATTTTTTCCTTTAATGATGAATTTATTCAAATTCTGATTTTTGGAATTTTTAAATATACACTCAAAGACCATATTTTCAAATGAATGCATTTTTTTTGTACTACTTAAGGACGATCCTGTGGTGATACAAACTTTATTGAAGAGAAAAGGGGGTGAGGATAATTGGTGGATCACCCTGTGTAATATTAATTTGTTTAACGTGTACACTATAACACTCGTATGCACATCATTGCTAGTTGCTACTTACAAGCTGATTCTTCTTTGCCCGATGTCCATTCCCATATGTCAATCGTCTGTTCACCGTTGGTATCTGCTACCGACACTGTAATCACATATTGTGAATCGACGCTGAACTTTACAATTGAGATTCCCATTTTAGATGGTGATAATACAGAAAAGACTGGAGTCCTCAAAAAAAAAAAATAATAATAATAATAATAATAATAATGTAAAGGTACGTAATGCTATTATTATGTTGATAATCTGCAGTTGAGTAAGTCACGAATCACAATATAATGTTATTACTACACCCGAATGACATTGTGGTGTCTTCATCTTACAACTGTATAACATAGTAAAAACTGAATTGAGCGGGGAAATAACCAAGAAGGCTACAGTTATCACTAAGAAACGAAATGTTCACCACATAAAAAGGAGAACTTTGGCTGTGAAATATCGTTATACAAAAATAGTTATTTAAGTTTGAAAAACATAAGAATAATGAATTTTGAAACAATAAAAACTTTTTTTGTATACCTAAGTGATATCAAAAACATAAAAACGATATATTACAGATAATGTTCTCAACTGGAATACTGTATATAAATTTGGGCTCTTAACTATCACTACAGCCTGAGTGGTTCTATCCCAAGTAAAACAGTGTTTGCTACGTTGTACATTTGTAAGACAGAGACAACAAATGTGGGTGTAGGGTCTCCTTAAATAACGGTAGAAGCTAGGTAGGTAATATGATATGCAGTACTTGTCGTGGGAAGTGCCGCAAATTCATACAATTTATAGTATAATCAGGGGTCTCCAACCTTTTTTTACGGAGGGCCAAATTTCAGATACGCTTTGGCATCGAGGGCCAACATTTTTAGAGGAATAGATCGGTTGAGAAATTGAAGAATAGATAAGACTTATTTAGAAAAATGAATGATTGTTTATATACTTTTTTCTATTTTTAGTTAGTGTTAGTACTTAGTATATAGGTATAAATTACTATTATAAGCTGTACCAAAATAAAATAAATTAAAAACAATTAAAATATTATAATAAACTAGCTGATGCCGTGAACTTCTTTGCCGTTTTAAATGTACCAACTCTATATGACTCAAACATTGTTCAATTCGTTATTTAATATTCGGTGTATGGTGTTCAAAATGTATCTTAACTTTTCCGTTGCCCGGAATAAAAATTCTGATTTACAGCAGTTCAGGTAGGCAATCTAGTGCTGTTTGTACGTAAGTGTATGATTTAACTCTAAAGTATCAAAGTTATACCAAGTTTGTCATATTCCACCTATGGTGGATTAATGTAATCAATTAATACAAAATCCTAACCGTACTAATATCACGTGAATAAAAAAAAAACCAAATCTAACCATTTTTAAATAAGCTTGTCTTCTTCCCAGAGGTCTAATATATACACACAAACATTCATTTATATATATATTTATATATTTACAAAAATAATAATAGGTACAAATCAACAAACATGCCCGATTAACCAATAGCAACCAATATATAATACACTGTTGTATTTTTAACATAAAAATTTACTACTTTTTCGGTGGATTTTCCTAAAATATTCTTTCGTAAAAACCTTCTTCTGGCAATTACGAACATCTTAAAAAAAAAATTTGAGCCAAATTGGACCAGCCGTTCTCAATTGATGAGGTATAACGACATTTATATATATATAGATATATTATTTTAAAAACATTAATTAGCTTGGTGGACCAGTGAAAAAAATCTTGGGGCGGCGTAGGTTGGAGACCCCTGTTATAAATAGTACAATATTTATAGTTAGTAGTAATAATTGCTATATAATATATTAATATTAAATGTCTAAATATTTACAATAATTTTGTGACAAATCATTTTAACTGTTAAACCATTATACCTAAGTAAAATATTCCAAACTATTAACATTGTTTCGTTATCGCCTTTGTCAACTGTAACCAACCAACGACTGTCCGGATTGACATCAAAACTACTAATATAGTTGCGCTGTAGTCCAACAAATACAAATAAATGATAATAATTACTAAACATAAGACATGGATACAGACATACAGTACCTGTACTATATATGTATTAAGTACCAATTATATTTAATTTATTTAAAATCAGAACATTTTAAGTTAGAATACATACTTACTTGAAAAATTAATTAATTAATAACCAATAACCATAGCCTTAAATATATGATTGTGTGTGTGTGTGTGTGTGTGTGGGTGGGGGGGGGGAGTGGCTATAATCTCGACCGTTTTCAAGTATTTAAGGATGTTGGAGAGCTAACGAGATTTCAGTACAAAAACTTGCCTTAAGAATACGACACACCCATATGTGTTGTCTCCGCGGTCTAACAAACGTGGAACATACCAAATTTAAGCTCAGAAATTCAAGTTTTATGCCGTTATCTTAAAAATTAGAGTAAATCGACCTATTATGAAATTGATGGTAAGAACATTATCTGTATTTTATTGGAATTTTTTTTTTACGATAGTTCAGTTTTAAAGCGAGTTATGAGAATTTTTAATTTGCATTTATCATACACGTTATAACTCACTTAAAAACTAAATTATCGTAAAAAAACTTCCAACGAAACACATATAATGTTCTTACCATCAAGTTTCATAATAAGTAGATTCACTCTTATTTTTAAGCTAAAGGTATACAACTTGAATTTCTGAGCCTAAATTTGGTATGTTATGCGTTTGTAAGACGGAGACAACACATGCGGGTGTAGCGTCCTCTTAAAGAAATAACTCTCACGCTTTGTGAAATAGTCAGATTTTGATAATTTTTTATTTAAAAGATGAAGAATTTATTCGTGTAAGACTGCTTTCAAAATCTCTACTTTCAAAAATGTTAATGAATGTCAATATTGTATATGTATTCATTTTATATTGTTAAAATGGTCTGATTTAACTTTTCCGTAGCAGATACGATAATAATGTTGTATGAACGCCTCACCGCGTATATAGTCACTTAGATAACTATAAACTGAGTACATTTTTACTCCTTAGTTAATTGCCAGATTAATGAATAAAAACGAAATATAGAATTGTATATTATACAAAAATATGGTAGTAAGCTATGCAAAATGTTAATTTATTCATATCCATGTCAATGTGCTTGACAGAGTGAAAAAATTAATGTTGGTATAATATATTTACATGGCCGGTCAACATGGTCATAGTATTGTTTTCTTTATTAAAGGTATCGTACTCCAATATAATACCAATTTGGTCACTAACAAAAAACATCTGTGGTTTAATTTCGTTCAAGTCTTCGACTAAGATACTTTTCAATCCAATTTTACAGTTCCATCCAAAAGACCATACAGGTCTCTATTTAAAATAAC